GATTGAGATCCTAGATCCCAAGTCCAGGGGAGAAAAGGTTAAATCCCTATCCATCTTTTCTTAGAGGGAATTGGTGGTATGGTGGCTATAATCCTGGGCCTTGAGTCAAGAAGATCTACATTCCAATCTGGCCTCAGACACTTATTAGCTGTGTGAGCCTAGGCAAGTCAGCCTCAGTTTCCTCATCTGTAAAATGAGGGTAATAGTAGCACCTACTTTCCAGGGTTGTTGTACAGATAAAATGAGTTAATATTTTAAAGTGCTTTGAAAACTTTGAAGTGCTATGTAAAGGCTATTATTATTAGTAATTATGATTATTACAGGTAATCATCATTATTATAATAATGATTATTATTTTCCTGGTCCTAGAGCACAAACTCTCAAACTAGGGAGAGTTCCAGATTTCTGTGCACTGATAGGCTCAACTTGGCAGGAAGTGTCTGGTAGCATTCTCCAGGGATTTGTGTGTGGCCGTGTACTAATTAATATTTTTATTAATAATATAAGAAGCAGCCTTGGCACAGCGGATAGAGAGCAAGCCTCAAAGCTGGGGAATCTGGGTTCAAGTTCCGCTTCTGACATTTAGTGGCTGTACGACCCTGGGTAAGTCACTTCACCTCTTATTTCTCTAGAGAACTCTCTCCTCTCTAAGACTACAAATTGCTGGTCAGGGGCTGCTCTGCATTGGCAGAAAGAGCTTCCTCACCTGGGAGTTCCCTAGACTAATGAAGTCACAGGTCCACCCCTATCTCTATCCGTCTCTGTATCAGTAACATGGACAAAGGTGCCCAGGACGTGCTTATAAAATTTGCAGCTGACACAAAGTAAGTAGTGATACCTAACACACTGAATAATAGAGATAGCATACAAAAAACTTGACAGTTTAAATACAGGGGTGGGAACCTGTGGCCTTGACGTCAGACATGGCCTTCCAGGTCCTTGGGTGCGGCCTTTTGACTTAGTCCAAGTTTTACAGAACAAATTCCTTCTCCAACTCATTTTATCGATGGGGAAACTGAGGCAAATAAGGTGAAGTGACTTGCCCAGGGTCACATGGCTAGTAAATGTCTGAGCCCGGATTTGAACTCTGGAAGAAGTTATCCTGACTCCAGGCCTGGCGCTCTATGCACCATGGCAGCACCCAGTTGCTCATGTACAGTTTAGCGGCCAACATTTCTGTTTGAGTTCGACACCACTGATCTAGCATATATTTAAACTCCGTTCTGTATAATCACTATTTTATCCTGTTTATATATGATATGGACACAGAAGGTCCAAGAAGTTAAAGTGATTTGCCCAGGGTCCCACAGCTAGTCAATGTCAATCTGAACTCAGACTCAAACTGGCCCACAAATCCAACATGCCCTCTGCTTCTCTAGTATAAGGTTTATTCTTATGTAACCCAAATCTGGTTCATGCACAAACCCTATCAGTTTGCTCCATAGGTGCAATTTTCCCATGTGAAGGAACCGGGAAATCCTTTTTGTGGTGATGTCTAAGAGAAATGCCTTGGAAAGACAGCAAAGTATGTGTAGACTTTCTATAACTGGTTCCAGCCAGCTAGCCATGGCAAAGAGGAGAATTCTGGCTTCAGAGACTTTCTTTTTTTCCTTGTTTCTTTTTTTCTTTGTTTCTGTTTCTTTCTTTCTTTCTTTCTTTCTTTCTTTCTTTCTTTCTTTCTTTCTTTCCTTTCTTTCTTTGTTTCTTTCTTTTTTCTTCCTTCCTTCCTTCCTTTCTCTTTCTTTCTTTCCTTCCTTCCTTCCTTCCTTCCTTCTTTCTTTCTTTCTTTTAATAATATTTTATTTTCCCCCCAATTACATCTAAAAACAACTTTTAAAATTCATTTTTTAAAGTTTTGAGTTCAAAATTCTATCCCTTCCTCCCTTCTCTTCCCTGAGGGGGCCATCTCCAGTTGTCCTGGTCTATATCTTGTCACTGGACCCAGATGGCTCTGGAGGAGAAAGTGAGGCTGATGACCTTGTGCATCCCTTCCTCACTTAAACCCAATTCACTTGTAAATCATGGCATCACCTTCCTGTTGTAGATCCTCTTCCAGAAGGACACACAGCAACAACAATCTATGTAAATCACTTTTTTTCTTAAAGGGGCCAAATCTTTCTTTTTTCTACTGAATATTTAAAATCTATTTTCAACATTGCAGAACAGAACAATTTTGAATAGTGCACTTCCCTCACCATGTGTCACCAGTTTTGTGCCGCATAAATACTGACCAAAGCTCTTCCCCAGGCAGTACTCCTAGGGTCTTGGATCCAGCTGTAGGAATTCAATATATGCTCAATTATTCATGATAATGGGGCAGATGGAGAGCAGGGAGAGCTAAAAGTTACAGATGATTCAAAAGTCTCAAAAATTATGTGTATGTCACTTGCTCAGTAGCAAAGTTGAAGCAAAGGAACAGTAAAATAAATGAATAAACAAAAAAAAGAATGAATGAATAAAAAAACCTAGTCATGCAAGTAAAGCAGGAAGGAAAGCAAATCAAAGAGACTGAATGATCTTCTGTATGGAAAAGTCAATATCTGATTAATTGGAGCTTGTTTCAAATTAATTTTCTAATAGCAAGGCCAACCCTAGGCAAAACTGGTCAAAGCTGTTGCCTTCCTTCTGACCTCCCACCCTCTGAGTATCTTCTCCTCACCTTAGATGTCCACTGCTCTCATACTTTATCCCTAGCTGCTCAAGGAACCCTGTAGTGATTGCCCCCTCTCTCCTCCTCAGGCCTGCCCTGTTAGGCAATGCTTCCACTTTAATACCTGCTATGTAGAAGACATTGAGCTAGGCTCTGGGCATACAAAGATAAACATGATATAATCCTTGTCTTCGAGGAGTTTAAATTCTTCTGGGACATGTAAGTTGTATACAGATATATAATCCAAGAAGCACTTATTATGCACCTACTATATGCTATGCTAAGTAACAGATATTCCAAGTCAAAAACCAAAACAGTTCCTGCCCTCAAGGAACTTGCCTTCTACTGGCAGATACCCCACGTACTCAAGGAATTAAAGAGAAGGTGATCTGAGCAAGAAACACTGATCTTTCTGGTTAGAAGTCAAACCTGAGCTGAACTTTGAAAGGAGCTGGAGATCCTAAGAGGCTGAAGGGAGGAAGGAATAAATTCCAAACACAGTCTGTGAAAAGCACAGAAAGAAGACGTGGTCCCACAGAACTGGAGTCACAGCCCCAAGACCAGTTAGGCTGGGAGAGAGTTTTTGAAGGAGAAGATAACGTGGAGGGCCTTGAGTGTCAGGATAAGGTGTCTGTATTTAACCCAGAGGCAACAGAACGTCACTGACTGTTTTTGAGCAGGGGAATGAAATGGCCAGAGATATGTTTTGAGATTATTTTGGTGGCTTTGTGAAGGTTAGCTTGGAGGAGAAAGTGGAAGGGAGAAACTAAAAGCAGCGTGACTGTCTCCTCAAAGTGCTTTCCACAGTGATTTACGTGCATCTGGGAAAACCCTGGATCCTACTTACACGTCTTGAACAATGTCTGGGTTTACAGGTAGAAAGGGAAAAAGATCAGATTTCTCTTTCTTTGGCAGTCAGAGTTAAGTGACTTGCCCAGGGTCACATAGCTAGTAAGTGCCATGTGTCTGAGGCCAGATTTGAACTCAGGTCCTCCTGACTCCAAGGCTGGAGCTTGTGCCACCTAGCTGCCCCATGGCTGCAGATTTCACTCTTGACTTTGACCAGGCAACTCAGAAATGCAAGGTTGGAAAAAAGGCTAAATGAAAGAAAAGAGAGGGATCAACATAAACTCATTACCAGAATAGTGTGGTGGCCTTAGCTCACCTCAAAGGGTCTGGGTTCAAAGCCCACTTTTGACACTCATGGGTGACATTGGGCAACTCACTTAACCTTCAGTACTCCTTAAATCTCTCCTTTCTTTCCTCTACAATTAGAAATCAGTCTGCTTTTTCCAATTTCTCTGAACCTTTGAAGTTTGACTATTGTTCCTAAATTTGGGAGATATGATACAAAGATCATAGGATCATAAGAATCATGGACTTATTTTATAAAAAGAACTCAGAGGTTAATTTCATTCAATATATGTGAAAACTATAGAGGTTAAGTGAACTTTCTTGAGGTCACATGAATATTAAGTGAAAAGGGTAGTTTTGGAAGGTAGATCCTTTAAATCCAAAGCCAGTGCACTTTCTCAAGGAAACACACATTTATTAAACACCAACTATGTGCCAGGCCCTCCACCATGGGCTTTACAAATATTATCTCATTCGATTCTCCCAACAACCCCAGAAGATAGATGCTATGATTATCCTCATTCTACAGTTGAGGAAACAGAAGCAGACAGAGGGTAAGTGACTTGCCCAGAGTCTGAGGCCAGATGCATTTAAGGGTCTAGTTTCTGTACTAGGAAAGCGATGGAATCCATCCCAGACCAGTGGCTGGCAACCTACGGGCCCTCAATAAGTGTAAATTAACTTAAAGAAGCTTTAACAACGTAGTCTGGTTTTTCATTCTATCAATGGGGTATAGGGAACAAACCACCTTAATACCATAGACAAACATGATCTGGAATTTTCAGCTTTGCTAATGAAAGCTGCCCTTAATTTAAAGATAACCAAAGCCAACAAATCAGTAAGAGGTTCTAAAACATAGTTTTCACCTATTGTGGACCCAGCAAGGGAGCAGGTGGGGTGTTCAGAAAGAGAAATAGCCAGGGACTATTTTTAACATAGGCAGGTACTAATGCCTTCACTCCTTGCTTCTTTGTGAAGCTCCCCGTTGTCACCAACAGCCTCCCCCACCCCCCATCCTCCTTCATAGCCCCTCTGTGTCAGGGCCTGGCAAGAATGGCAGTGAATCAGTGTCTAGGAACACATCTGTGAGCTTCCCCAAACTTGTTTCATTGCTATGAATAATCCAGGAGATGCATTGTTAGCAATGAATGGGAAAGATAAAAGGCATCGGAGCCCTCCACAGAAGGTCTTATTGCTACATTTTTTAATTTAACAGAAAAGATGACACCACAAGCTGAGGCCTCGGCACCTGGGCCCACAGCCCAGGATGGACAGCAGCAGATAAGGAGAATGATGGCAAAGAGGTCGAACATTATCAAGGAGCTGATACAGACGGAAAAGGACTATCTCAATGACCTGGAGCTATGCATTAGGGAGGTAGTTCAGCCCCTGAAAAACAAGCAGGTAAAAGGTCTCTTCTTTTGTTGTCATTTTTTCCCCCTCCAGATCCTAAATAGAATCTCTGTCTGAGTGAAAAGGAAGAGCCCAAATGCATCTGGGGAGGTGGGGGTAGGGATGCCCATCCCTGGTTCTCTCGCTTCCCCTAGAGTGTTTGTTTGCACAGGGCTTTGTCCCAAAGGAATAATGCTGACTGTGTAAACCTCAAGTTTCCTGTCTTCAAAGAGCCTTTATTTGGACAATCTGAACTTTTGAAGACTACTGAAAAGGAAATTTTATTTCATCCTCAACCCCCATGCCTTTTCTAATATTTCCCTTCTGGGATTCTGATGAAACTGGTGAGATCATGCAGACAATCGTCTGTGGCATGAGGTCCGGTGGGCATTTGGTACAGTTTGATGACGATCTGTGGAGAGGGCCCTAAAACCGGGGCAGAAGACTCATTTACACAATAACAACAACAACAATAACGAATAATAATAATAATAGCATTTATATAGCACTCTAAGGTTCGCCAAGCACTTTGCAAAATATTATCTTATTTTATTCTCACAACAACTCTGGAAGGTGAGTGCTGTTATTATCATCTTCAGTTTTACAGATGGGGAAATTCAGATTAAGTAAGTCTCCCAGAGTCACACAGCTAGCAGTGTCTGAGGTTGGATTTGAACTCAGTTCTTCCAGATTCCAAGTTCAGTACTCTATACATGTGCCACCTAACTGCTTAATCATTTTTGTTGTTCAGTCGTTTTCAGTCATGTCTAACTCTTTGTGACCCCATTTGGGGTTTTCTTGGCAAAGATACTGGAATGGTTTGCCATTTCCTTCTCTAACCTGAATAATAATAGTTTTATACAGTGCTTTAAGGTTTGTAAAGTGCTCTGGCAGCTAGGCGGCACATTGTATAGAATGTCAGGCCTGGAGTCAGGCTTCCTGAGTTCAAATCTGACCTCAGACACATACTAGTTGTGTGACCCTGGGCAAGTCACTTAACACTGTTTGCTTCAGTTTCCTCATCTGTAAAATGAGCCAGAGAAGGAAATGGCAAACCACTCTGCCAAGAAAATCCCAAATGATGTCACAAAGAGTCAGACATAACTGAACTACATGTGCTATCTCATTTGGTCTTCGCAACTCTGCAAAGTAGATGATATTCTTATCTCTGTTTTACAAATGAAGAAAATGAGGCTGAAAAACAGTTACATTACTTACCCTGGGTCACACAGTTAGTTAGTAAGTATCTGAAAAGGGATTTCTGAAGACTCAGGTCTTCCTGACTTGATGTCCAACACTCCATCTACTATACTACCTAGCTGTATGAGCTCTATTTCCACCAGCAACTTGCTCTGTGACCCTGAGAAAGTCACTAATTTTTTCTTGGCTTCAGTTTCCTCATCTTATAATATAGGAGATTCAGACAATATAAAGGATTTTTCAATGTTTTTGTGTTCAAGCACATTTTTGAATAATGGTGAAGCCTATGGACCCCTTCTTAGAATAATGCTTTTAAATGCATTTTATACATATATATGTATATAACAAAGGAAACCAATTATATTAAAATAGTTATTAAAATATAAAAAATGAACCTTAGCTTAACAATCTCTGGAATAAATGATCTCTAAGGTCCCTTTCAGCAGGAACGGTCAAGAATTGGGAAGAAAAATAATATTTGAGGCTAATTTTAATTTCAGTAGGACTTGAAAATTCAATTAAATTTTAAACACCAACCTGAGAACTATTTAGCCCAAACAATGACTATTTTATTTTATTTGGTGAGGCAAATGGGGTTTAAGTGACTTGCCCAGGGTCACACAGCTAGTAGGTGTCAAGTGTCTGAGGTAGGATTTGAACTTAGGTCCTCCTTACTCCAAGGCTGGAGCTCTATCCACTGCACCACCTAGCTGCCCCAACAATGACAATTTTAGATTGAATTATAGTATAAAGATTTTCTCTCTGGTAAGGCTGGCCCTAAGCTAATTTTGAGTTACAGACAGATCTATCACTACTCCACTATCACTTTTTTGGTCTCTTTCCCATATTTTATTTTATTTTTACTCTTAGATATTTTTCAACAAATCCTGCTTAAAGTAGAGTGTAGGAGGGGGAAGGCATAAAAGGTCCCTGAAAACTGGACATAACAGACAAATTCTGTAGTAGTAGGAGCCCAAGTCACAACCATAATAAAAAACTGTCCTCTGGCTTGATTGCTAGTAATTACCTAAAAATTAATTTCCTTGTGAATTTTTCTTTATTTTGCCAACACAATTAGGGAACCAATGGGATTTTTAAAAGTTTGAGGCTTCATCTAGTACAAAAGTATTAAGTACACAGATCCCTAAGTGTGGTCCAAGTCAGATTAAAATGTAATTAGGAAATATTTAACAAAATAAATTAAAAAATAATAAAACACAGATGATATTACATTATAAAAATAAGTCAATATGCAGCCAGGGATTCCTATATATTGTTTAATGGCCTCCTTTTCTATTTTAGTTGGACACCACTGCTCTAGATCATGTACCTAATTTTTAAGATTACATGAAACTAGGACAGATATATTGGATTTAAGATTTAAGATGCCAAAAGATCTCAGAAGGTTGAAGCTCATAACCTGAAGCTTAATTAGTGAGGAGTGTCAAATCGGGGATAGGGGTTCAAAAAAATCACCTGCCCATGTACAGGATGAGAGACATAAGGCTAGAAAGTTGTTCATTTGAAAAAGACCCTACAGACTGTAGTGGGTTATGAGCTGAATACAAATGAGCAGTGTGAGGCAGACCAAAAAAAAAAAGTGCTAATAGTAGATGAAGAGGTAGCAGGTTATTGTGGAAAGAGCAATGGCTCTAGTCAGAAGATATGGGTTCAATCCCATCTCTGATGCTTACAACTTGGGCACCATTTGGCAAGACACTTAGACTAGCTAGAATCCTGCTAATTCTAGATTTAAGATTCTCAGCTTTATTAATAGAAGCAAGATAAAAATCTTATTTTCTGCTACTCCAGTCTATACCATATTTGGTGTATTTTGCTCTGGGAAGGACATTTTAGAAGAACATTGATGAGATGGAATGCCTCCAGAGAAAAGTAATAAGGAAGATTAGGGCATCTGGAATTCATTTCAGTTCAACAAACATTTATGTCCAAGTACCTAAGTCTTTCACAGTTGACTATCCTTACAATGTTGCTGTTACTGTGTATAATGTTCTCCTGGTTCTGTTCACTTCACTTTGCATCAGTTCATATAAGTCTTCCCAGGGTTTTTTTTTTTTTCATAAAACCAGTTCCTAGTTTTATTTAATAGTTTATTTTTTCTTACTTTTAATTTTACTAATCTCTCTTTTGATTTTCAAGGTTTTCATTTTGGTGTTTAATTGAAGGGTTTTTTTTTTACTTGTTCTTTATCTGTTGTTTTTTTTTTTTCAGTTGCATGCCCAATTCATTGATCTGTTCTTTCTCTATTTTATTGATATAAGTGTTTAGAGATATAAAATTTCCCATAAGTACTGCTTTGGTTACATCCCACAAATTTTGGTATGTTGTCTCATTGTTGTCATTCTCTTTAATGAAATTATTTATTGTTTTTATGATTTGTTCTTTGACCCACTCATTCTTTAGGGTTAGGTTATTTAGTTTCCAATTAATTTTTAATCTGTGCTTTCATAGTCCTTTTATGGCTGCAATTTTTATTGTATTATGGTGTGAAAAGGGTATATTTAATATTTCTGCTTTTCTGCATCTGATTGTGAGATTATATGCCATGATACATGGTCAGTCTTTGTAAAGATGCCATGTACAGCTAAGAAAAAGATATATTCCTTTCAATTTCCATTAAATTTTTTTCCAGAAGTCTATCATATCTAACTTTTCTAATCTAACCATCTCCTTAACTTTTTTATCATTTATTTTATGGCTAGATTTGTCTACTTCTGAGAGAGTGAGATTGAGGTGCTTCACTAGTATAGTTTTACTATTTCCTCCTATAATTCATTTAACATTTCCTTTAAGAATTTGGGTACTATGCCATTTGGCGGATATGTTTCATACTGATATTACTTCATTGTCCATGGTACCTTTTAGCAAGATGTAGTTTCCGTTCTTATCTCTTCTAATTAGTTCTATTTTTGATTTTGCTTTGTCTGAGATCATGATTGCTGTCCCTGCCTTTTTTATAATTTCAGCTGAAGCACAATAGATTTAGCTCTAGCCCCTTATTTTAACTCTGTGTGTGTTTCTCTGTTCCAAGTATGTTTCTTGTAAACAATATATTGTTGGATTCTGGTTTTTAATGCATTCTGTTATCCACTTCCATTTTATGAATGAATTCATCCCATTCACATCCAAAATTATGATTACTAATTGTGCATTTCTCTCCATCCTATTTTCTTCTATTTATCTTTCTCTCTTTTTTTCCTGTCCCTTCTTTAAAGTCTGTTTGCTTCTGACCGATACCTCTTTTTATCTGCCCTCCCTTTCTCAGCCTCACCCCTCTTGTCTTATTTCTTTCCCCTCTACTTCCATGTTGGCTAAGTTAGATTTCTATACTCAATTGAGTATAGAACATATATATATTTTGTATATATATATATGTAATATATGTATGTATATATGTGTGTATATGTATATATATGTAATATATATATATTGAGTATAGAACATATATATATTTTGTATATATATATGTAATATATGTATGTATATATGTGTGTATATATGTATACATACATATATACATATATGTGTGTATTATATATATGTAATATATATATATATATTGAGTATAGAACATATATACATTTTCCCCTCTTTGAACCAATTTAGATGAGAGTTAGGTTCAGTGTCATCTCTTGCCTCATTTTCCTGTCTACTGTAAAAACCCTTTCTTGGCCCCCTCTTTTATCATCCCAACATAATCAATTCACTCCTATGCCCTCTATGTAGAATCCTTCTAACTGCCCTAATAATGATAAAATTCAGGGCAGCTAGGTGGTGCAGTGGATAGAGCA